TGTATAGGATATTTTTGCGTCAGGCCAATATGGTGATGGACGTCTGGACTTCTTGCTAATTCCGTGATTTCAATGTGGGGATGATGGACAATTTTCTCAACCACATGACAAAAATGAGCTTAGTGGCATTCAATTTGAGTCAATTGTTTCACAAATGACTTGTGATCTGTGTAAAGATATCTAGCCTTGGGTGCATGATGTTCAAGCTCGCCCTAGCATAATTAATGAGTTAAGTCCAGATATGAAGAGTAGAGGATGAACTGGTTTACTACTGTATGAGTCAGACATGCCATACTGGTAGATTGTTGAAATGTAATCTCCTAAAGTTTGGAACTTGTAGGTTTGAAAATTGAAAACCTTCATATGCAGCTCATTATTGAAGGGATTCTCAACTGAAGAACATTGGTTGCCCATACATGCACTCTTTTGTTTTATCATGTGCCAAAAGGATGTGCAACAAGTGAATAAAGAGAAACTTTCAAACACTGATCTTAAATTCGTGTAAGAGATTGACCACAAGCACCAGGAAAATATTGAATCCAAGAGGGCCAAGGTGATCTGAGAATGTGATCTGAAGAATAATTAGCCATGGTTTGCTATTACAATGATTCAAGCCTCACTGAAGTAGAGACCCATGAATGTAGTTTAAGAATATGTTCAACCGCTGCACTACCAACCCCAAAGTTTTGCTTGTAAATCAATTTGCAAGCAGTGCCCACAAGAATTTGTCTTTTCTCATCATCATGAGCCAAAGTCTCATGTTGTTGTCGATCTTGCAGCTTGCCCATATTTTGGATCTGATCCTTTGGTATCAGATATCAAGGACAGGGACACCCTCCTAGGTTCGAACTGTCACTATATGAACTCTGGAAAATTGGTGTTAATGATATTTAAGAGCCAATAAAAGTTCACCTACTTTTCTGGATAGTCTGTGGAGTAAGTGAAGATTCTCAGATAAAATCTGCACTTGATGACATCATAGCAACATATCATGATGCCATGCTCATATGCCTCGAGAAACTCGTCATCCAACAAGATCTTCCATTGTTCATGAAAGAACTCTCTGTGACAGTGAGTTGCACACTCACTGGTCATTCTCTTTCCCCTATAAAATCTTTCAATGAGTCCGGAAGCTATGCATTATGATGGTAAGTAGGATATGGACATAAAGCTTTAGTAAGGCATACTGTCTTGAAGTACGCGACATGATTGCTCAAGTTGCACAATGGTTTGCATCAGCGATACTTGGATTTGTTACCATGTACCTTGTGCTGCCTCATGACACCTCATGCATTGATATAGATCACCACATGGTTATTATATATGACTCCTACTGATAAGTAGATTAGAAACCAGACAATCTTAGCTTTAATGAAGCTTATATAGAGTAGACAGAACACTTATAGATTCTTCACTTGAATCTTACTAGGTTATACCTGAATCCTCTTCTACCAAGCCTCTAAGCTTAAATAGTCTTTGATAACACTTTTGGTAGGGCTCACTCAGCTTTGTTATCTGTAACCTTGACCCTATTATATGATAAGACTGCAGTCTTACTGTACTTAGATGGGACCTTTGCCATTCGGTGAAGAAGACAACTTTGACACTTGGCAGCATATTTGTGCTTGTGTCATTAGATTATCCTATTTCATAACAACTTGAGTCTTATCTCTTGTCTTCCTTCTAAGTCTTAGGATTGATTCTACAGACTTGACATCTTTGTCTCTACCTCTTGTAGTCTTTACTCTGTCTGTTTCTACTTTAGACTTCATCCATAGTAGTCTTGCCTTTAGTTTTCTGTATTTCTGGATTCCAGACTTCATCCATAAGCTCTTAGAAATTAAGGGTACATACTTAGGTAAGAGATACAGTACATCAGCTGAAACTAAGCCCTTTAGATCCACTCCTTGAGTACATTCTTAATTAAACTGTAAACATTGAATATAAAATTTATAGCAATTTTCTCTATAGTTAAGCATGAATATCAAAGATCTTATAAATTACTATGTATTTGCTGATGATGATAAGATACTGGAACTGCAAGCTATAGTTTTTATGTAAGATCAATAAGCAAGATGGAAACAGAGATGTTTAGAAACTATGTTAGGTGCTTCTCCTACAATAACTCGACATCCTGTCTATTATTTTTTGAATATAAGTCATGTATTTTAGGTAAGCCTTTTCAATTGATGTATCAAGTCATTTATGCAGTCTGGATGCCCTCACATCAACAGATTGATAATGTGCTATTAGGCTTTGTGGCTCAGACTTATTCTTAAATTCTGAAACATTTAATAACATGTTTTCTGCTACTGAAACACTGGATTAGAAAAGATAGATAGTAAAATAATGAAAGGCCTATCCATCTTGATGGTACAACTATGAAGATTGGGCTACTTCTAGAGGCTACTGAGAGACCAGAAGAGATCAGACTAGAATCTTGCCAATGTATTGAATAGTGTAGTGAAGTTGTACAGTATCTAGAGTCCAGAGTAAGTTGCTAAATAGATAGGGAGCACTAGACTCTAAGATATGGGCAATATATGGTAAACAAATATAAACAGACAAGCCACAATCCTAATGTAAGTAATAACTCAACCTAGGGATGACCTAGGAAGGTTAGGAAGTCATGTAAATAAGTAGCAAAGTACAAGGAATGATACTGTGGATATAATAGCACAATTAGACACATAAAAGACATAGACATTCATACTGAGAACTGTTAAATTTTTTGTATTTCTGTGACATGTATTAATGTTCTCATACTTAAAAATTTATTGTTTCTTGCATTTAGTCCTTCCATTACCCAATTGACTGCACAACACCAGATATTATTAGGCAACAATATATTCACAACCTTGGTCTATGTTTGAGTAGCTATTGAACAATATTATCATATTGTGGCTGCAAAAGAGCCTAAAATTTTAATACACACCAGCAACTGCCAAGATCCAGTAGGCTGTAATGAACTGGCATGCCATCTGATAGAATGACATAGCTCATTTCTTTCTCAACAGATGAAATCTACTATCATATTATGATGCCATTAAATTCTTTAACGGTTTCATCACTTTCACCCAATCTACTGCCAGAGAAATCACAAGATTGAATGATACATACTGTCTCCTTAATTGTCTATGGATGATATTTCAGGCAATATCTCAAAGTAATGGAATAAACATCATGCTATATACATGTCCAATGCAAATAATCTATACTCAAAAACCATCTTATATATCATTCTACTCAATTGTACCTACTGGCTGTGCTTGTTCCAGACTCAGTGACTTTGGTCCCATTAGTGTCCACAGCTCTTGGCTAAAAAGTCAACATCCCAGCACTGGAAAAAGTTATCAAGGACCCCTGAGTAGTAGCTCAGGTCCTCACTGTTCGCAATAAAGAGGTGAAGAAGAATAGTCTGGCTAGGTAAGAAGACTTAGGATCTGCGTGTGGGCGCATTGACTAGCTTCAATAGATTTGAGACGCTTAAGTGTATCCACATCAGCTCAAATCTGTTTTTAATTGAAGATGACATTGACTGCATCCGACCTTCAAGGTCACTCCAGTCCGTGTGCGATATCATTGACTCTTGGACTTAGTGCTATTGCTGGGACCCATGATATTCACTTTTTGAGTGGTCAGATCATTGATATTTCTTTGGTGTAGCAGGTAGGAGCCTCAGGTGGCTCAACCTGGGTACCAGCATCTGCAGCTGCAGAGTCAGTATGGGTCATCTCAGAGTGCTGGATATGAACCTGGCTATATCCAACCTCAGAAGTGACACAGAATGTCAAGTGTGACACTGATTGCAAAAACACTGATATACTACTCAGAGCTGTGCGCACGATTGGCTATTATGACTTACCTCTTTCTGAGGTGCTATCGTGCAAAGTAAGTGTTTTTTTATTATGATTCAGCGTCGAGATACTGATTTCTGTACGATGTAGATGATTGTAAACGATGGTGTCAATTTCCTTTTTTGGCGTGGAGCCTCACACTCCAAAGTCCAGAACTGTCTACTGGACCGAGACACAGGTAAGACTATTACTCTCCTCTACCGGACCAAGACACAGCTCTTACTCTGACAGATTTCTCATTTTCAAACCTGGCTACTCTTAAGGACCACGACAAGCATAATGTCTATTCATTATGCGCCGCTGGCTGGATTTTTGGAGGTGGTCTAGCTGTTGAAATCCAATCCACCAATACAGTACGTAGTATATCTTTCATTCATTTTTCGTTTTTCATTTGACGACACTTGTTCTACCCAGCGGAGTTACCATATTAGGCAACTCCACGTACGGGCTATTGAACAGAGAATGGGCACCAAATGCAACAGAGGCGAATCTCATTGGTGACTTCAGTGAGTCCCATCCTTCATGCTGTCTTGCATTATTGAAACATTGATTATATATTCAGACCAGGCGAACAGGATGTCCCACCCATATATTGCTAAATATATGTAGTGATACAGCACAATCTAGTGTCATAGCATGGGATTGCAAGTACAATGAAAAGATCATTCTGATCCTATATGTGCTATTCCTTGCTGAAGATAATCCAATGCAAGGTGAAGAATGTAGTCATGTGGGTTTAGCTGCCACCATTTTTATAGGACATGTAATATTGGTGAAACAAAAGAATATAAGGAATCATAAGTTTCAGGTGCTATAATAAAAAATCAGAATTTAGTCTTGTTAACTGGTGTGCAAGATTAATTATTGCCCAAAAATGAAGTCACAGCCTCTTTTTCAAAAGAATTTGAAGAACTTTTGAAAGGTAAATAGCTTGATGACACTATTGATCCCTCACTCAGAATAGACAATGAGTTCTTTTTGTTGTCATAGATATCTTGTTTAGCTTCCTACAGGCTCAGATATTAATATGAATACCCTAATAAGATCCTTCATATGATACTCCTGGGTGTTATCAAGTAATTTTGAGTGTGGAGAGTGTTTTTTCTTGAGAAAGCAAAGTTCATTCAAATTTTTCAGTACTAGCTTGAGTCTATTAACAAGGATGACATGAATACTTCCTGTCTAAATGCAGACTATATTTGTTACTATAAAGATAATTTGATTAGAAAGTATTTTAAAAGTTTAGCACAAGTTATGTCATTTATTATCCATAATCTCATTCCTCCAACAGTGCTTACTGCCTGGACAGCGATTGGTGAGCTTATCATATTGGTCTGGCATATAAGATTTTTGGTTACAGAAGCATATTCTATGAGTTCAATTTAATAGGAATAGGATCAGTACTTACCAATTTGAAGCCTCGATGTCATAGTTCTGTAACAATAAAATAGAATACAAGATATAAAAAAATGAAAATGATACTACTTAACAGTGTTCATAGTATTGGCACCCAAACCATAACATAAAAAGGTCCTTATGATGTCACAAAGATTATTTATAGAGAAGCAACATCTAAAACATAGGCTGACAACAGATTAGTAAATCAAATTACCCATACTGAAAACAAATGGACTAGTATGAGTCAGTTGACAATAGTAATAATGCACTGATAATGATAAGAGAAGTTCATTGAAACTCCAAGCTATAGCTGTAGCAAAGTATAAAATACTCAAGCAACAAATATATATTATCCATGATGAGAAGTATTATCCATAGTATAGGAAGACATACTTTTCTGATTAAATGCAGTACTAGACACCACATATTAAATAACAGGAAATCATTATTAGATAGTATATAATACAGGAAATAAGCTAACCATAAGACAAGACAATAATCAGCACTAGAAAGATAAATGTGAACTGGTATTAAATAACCTACTGGGAAAACTCAAAGCAACATATTTATTAGACACATTGGCTATGAACACATCAAGGCACAACACAGGTGTAGGCAAGGCCAGGGAGCCCACCAGGTACACTAATTAAATATATGATCATTGATATAGTATACTACTTTCATGCAGGGCACACTAGATGCTTTTGAAACTCTTGATGATGTATTAAGCAGGATGTACACCGGTGGCAGTCACAATCACAATGGCTGTTAAGACCGTGTGTGTGCTGTTCTTCACAATATAGATGTGCAAGGGTGGAACTTAGTGAGACCCCAGTTTTTGGAAGGACTAATGTGGGCTCGCACTTTGCTGAAGGATGCAGAGGAGCTGTCGACATTGGTTACAAAATTTGAGGGTCCGTGCACTACTTATCTCAAATCTGAATGTTCACATGTCCTTTGCACAACATGTCTATGGCTTGCAGCTGAGGAAGAAAATTTATCTCTCGCAGACCAAGACCCAGAAGTCCTTGATGATGCCCTATTCAATCACAGGCTAGTTTGGCAGTGTGTGTAATTACTATGTTCCTACGTATACTTGAATTATATCACGTGACACAATGAAAGTTGTTTGAACAAGGTTGCTTTATGTCAAATTTAAATACCATTATACCCTTCATCGAGAAAGAACGTTGTCGAAGATTTATCCAATACAATTGTCAGTTTATTGACGAAAACAATCAACATGCTGCTCAGCGCTGATGTAATGACGATACTCAAGATGATGCTCTACCCGGAAGCGTGTACCATGCTCACATGTCTATAGATGTCACACATAGGGACCGTCACTCAGTCAAGACCTCATACTTTCGTGCACCACAAGCCATGCCGGTGCCACATGTTACTTTATCTGTAATGCCACCGGAAGGAATATTGGAGGCTTTCAATTTCGACGTTGCACATGAAACTGGAGAGGAGAGATTCTTTTTGACCCAACAGTCATAGTCCAATCAGAACTAATGGAGTGCTTCAGAATCTTCGCCAATCCACTGAAACAGTCCAACAGCCCAGCTCACCGCCTATAAGCCTCCATCAGGGAGCTAAATCTCCTAGAAGACAGAATAATCATATATATGGATGGCTCATGCCTGAAAAATGGAAAAAAAAATGATGCACACTCTGGCAGTGGGATATGAATATCAGAAGAGAACAAAAGAAACAGGAAAATCAGAATACCTGGAGAAAAATATTCAAACCAAATAGCGGAATTAGTAGTGATCCTAGTTGCCCTACAACAAATGGAACCCTATATCCCAATAACCTTCATCACTGACTCAAGATATGTAATGGATGGACTCACAAAAAATGTAAACCAATGGGAAGACAGAGGGTGGATAGACATTGCAAATAGCAAATATATAAAAACAACAATATACCACCTAAGGAAAAGATCAGCACAAATGTCCTTTGTATAGATAAAAGGACACAATAGAGACCGCAGAAATGAATATGCAGACCAACTCATCCTGGAAGGAGTCAATAAGCCCACAGCAGACCACATAGATCTGACAATACCAAATGAATGGAACCTACAAGGAGTGAAACTCTCGTCAATAATGCAGGAAATAGCATACAAAGGCATAAGAGCCAAGAGTAAGGAGAAAAACTTACCAAGAAGAGCAACAACAAACAACCTCAATGTCACAAGGTTTGTAATACAAAAAGACGTTGAAAATGATGATGTAATATGGACTTGTTGCAGAAACAAAGACCTGCAAAAAATGATCTGTCAATTCCTATTCAAGTCCATCCATGGCACATACCGAATAGGTGAATACTGGCTGAATATATATAATTTCAAACACTGAGCGAGATGCACACACTGCCTGGCTGAAATAGAATCCCTGGAACATATAATGTTAGAATGTCCAAACAATGCCCAAACCACCATATGGAAGTTAGCAAAGGACCTTTGACCAGAAGAACATGAAGCCTGGCCATGAATCACCATAGGCACAATACTAGGCTGTGGTAACATTCACCTCAAATAACTAAACTCCAATGAACTGGAGAACAAAGCATCTGTGACTCCCACATAATCTCTGTATTTAGAAGTGATAATAGATAGCATTAACACCTGTAAAGCAACACAAATCCAGCGGCTACAAGCCTCCTCCAATATCTTTTCAATAAAGGCTGGCTTATAATGCTGTATAATAGGGTAACCAAGCATAGGCACATTAGCGCTGATGTAGTTCATGTCTCTGATGTTCAGATAAGTCTGCCTGTCATCTGAACTTTGTGCTCACTGGGTCGCACAATGAGCTCATGTATCTTGTATTAACTTGGACATATTGGGGGCGCATTTTGATAGCAAGCATAGTAAGTCACATAGTCAATTACAATACTAAGGTAGGCAAACTAGACTACTGAGAGTACACTACATGTCCCTAACTTCTTTCTCATCAGACAACTCAATGAACTCTGCACTTTTGGGAGTATAGTGATGGTTGGTGGAGATATTTTTTGCCTTCTTTGAGGGCTTGGTGTTTTCTTTGTTCATGGTAGTCAAGTTCTGCTATGTTAGCTTTGGCTTGGGCTGTTGTAAGCACTGCCCAGAAGCATTTTTGAGCCTTAAGAGTATTATGGAGCTTGCAAATCTCACTAACAGTCCCGATATTTGATGGACTGATAAACTTAATGCCCTGGGGCCATCCTAAGAGTTAGATGGCATAAGTTTCGACAATTGTAGTTTCGTAGTTGGTATAGTTCATCACAATGTATTTATTCCCAGTCACCGCAACTGTGAAAGACATTAGCTACAATTTGTATTCAAATTGATGTTCCTATGCACTCAGTTCATAAACAATTATCTTTCAAACTTGCTTGCGCATGGTTTCCAATGAGTCACGCTCATTTTAAATAGATCTGCATCATGGTTATTACCAACTGAATGCATCCCAGGTAACAAATGACTTACTTTCATTTTGGGTACATGCCCATTGTTCAAATTGATGAAGGTAATCAGCCATTGGGAGGTCATAAATGTCCTCCCAGAAGTCTTCCAAGTTATCAGTCTCATGCATTATGCTTTGAATTGTGTTGTTCACATGACCATGGACAACAAATAGAGATATGATATGTAAGTGCCAGTACAAGTATGCAAGTCGTCAAACTTTGGATTCACAAAGAATACCACAATGTGAGTTGAATACTTTTGAGATATGTAAGGGCATATCTCTTTGACAACACTTTCTGTTGTGATAGCCAAATTGTTTCCTCGGACATGAGTTATCTTCTACTCACGGTGCTTAGTGAGAGTTGCAGTATAACCTACCCTTTCATCCTTCATCAACTTTTTCATTTGAGGGTCCTTGGCAACCATCTCACACAGTTCAATCAAGGTATACTGGGAACCGACAGGTTAATCTGATTGCAATGAATAGTGTAAGTTTTGAGACATTGAGTCAAGGGATTCAACTTACTAGTATTCATCTCCTTGGCTTTGGCATGAATAAGGGTGTTAGTCAACTGGACCTTGCACATTATGTGATACTTGGTGTGACTATTAATCATGTAATTAATGTACTTGGAAGTGACATTGTGAGCATGCAAGAGAGACTCAATTTTGATTTTCTGGTCATCCAAGTGTACAGTGATAGCATTGTGTAAATGCCTTGACATCTCTGTCTTCTACTCCTTTTTGAGCATCTGACACTTGAGGTGATGGGGTCCAGGGTTGAATTATGGACCATGGAGGATTATGTGCCGCTTAGGTGGATGAATTGGTGTCACGAAGGGGGTCTAATTTCAGGCTTCCAGTAGGGGATGGCATACAAGAGGGAATAGTAGATTCACTTGAATCTGAGTCAGGTAAATTGTTGACAATGAGAAGAGTATAAATTCATGGAAATGTAGCTGCCCTGTTGATGGCCTCTAATTCTTCAGTTGAGAGAGGTATCATATACAATAATAGGTTCTCCCAGTTGATACTACAATCAAACAGGTGAGAATTTTCACCAAATACATTGGTGTCACCGTGTTAAGACCGTACACAAAGGGGAGGACTGATTCCAAGGGGCTTGGCTTCAGCTCATGCGCTGCGCCCCTTACCCGAGTATGTACCCTTAACTTCAGAATGAAGTCCAGTGAAAGTCCAGTGAAGTCCGAAGGACTTCCGGAGGAGTGTGGGAAACTTCAAAAGGACTTTCCGGACGAGTGCGAGAAACTTCTGGATGAGTGCGGGAAAGTTCTGGAGGAACTTCCGGAAATTACCATAGAGTTTTATCCTGACAGGGATATGTGTAATGGCTACTCAGGACAAGTCCTGAGGGGAAGCAAACAGAGGAAAGGCTGCAAGGACAAAGTCTGAAGCAGAATAGATCCAGAGGAACTTCCAGAAACTTGGAGGAATAGTGGATCAGAGGATCAGAGGATCAGAGGATCAGAGGAGCAGAGGAGCAGAGCTCTGGCCTAGAGAATGCCTCCCTAGGCCTGAGATGGATATTGACTAAGTTGGAGGACTAGAACTGATGTGAGGACTTAGTGTGAGATCTAGTGCGAGGACTAATATGATATTCAGACTGAGGAAGTACAGAGACTTTACAGGGTTTATATACTACAAAGGACATAACAGAGAATCAGTCAGCGCAGTGCGAGGCTATGTGAGGCTATGGACGGAGCACATGGAACACCTAACACTAGTGTGTCGGAACATAATAAAATGAAGACAGAAATGAATAAGGTCCAGGAAATGAGTACAGTCGGTTATAGGTATAACCGGATAACCAGAAACAGGTGATTACCATAAGGGGATGGGCGCTGATTTAAGGTTTGAGTTAGGACATGACAGATAGGTCGGATCCAGAGATGTGGATGTCAGATCAGATGTCTGGATATCGGATCCGGGAATTGGACAGATAGAGGAACTGAAGGTCTGGAGACATGGATGGGGGATCTGGAGCTCCGGATGAGGCGTGGGAATATCGTCGGATGTAGGTCCAGAATACGGGATATGACACACCGCCAGTTTAAGACTCAATTGACAGAATGTCAAGAATTGCTGCTGTTTCAAGACATTATTGAGTTGTAGAAATGTATCTTAAAAAACCACACTATCATGTTGATTGAGCATCCCTGTGAGATATGCTGGTTCACCAAGATTGATAAAATTTCCACTAATATTGAAGTTGTCTTCAGAGAAAATGAATTTCATTGTTGATGTATGCAGGAATGTGAGTAGTAAATGTGTATAGACCAAAATGCTGTGCATCATGTGATCAAAAACCTTGAAAAAACAGTATCAATATATTGTATTACAGTCATCATCAACAAAAAACTTAAAGTCACAGAATCATATTAGAGTGGCAGTACAACAACTAGCCTAGCACTCACCATATGAATTCATATTAGGAGCACCTGAGTCGAGAATGTTGTGGGGGCATTACAGTCAGCCTAGAGTCAAGTGGTGATAGTGAATAGAAGTAAATAAGAGATGAAGTTCCATACTAGAAATTGATTTTTCTTGGTGGACACTCTTGAGCTTAGGTGCTGAGAGTGTCGCGCTCCTTGTTCTCATGTGAGTTGAATCTTAAACTGATTAAACCACAAACTTAGCAAACTCATAGCAAACTTGTAGCAAACTCATAGCAAATGTATAGTGAAATCATACTGAACTTGTAGTGAACTCATAGTGAATTCGTTGAATTCATGTTGAACTCATAGCAAACTTGTTGGACTTATATCAAATATTATAAATACTGTGTAATCTTACAAAGAAATTACAAAGCATGACAGAAAGGGGCTGACTCTTCTCAGGGATTGGTCATGCAGAAGCTGACAAACCAAGCCTTTGGGTGAGCTGAATCATCCTTCTTACTAAGTACATTACAAACAAAGTTCAGTGTCTTACAAAGAACTTACAAAACATGATCAACCATGACTGAACATGTTGAGTCAGCTTAAATAATGTTACAAACCAGAATATTTTCCCAGTCACATGATGTGATGACAAATAAACTCTGGTGGCTGAAAGAAGCCAAATAAAAGCAAACAGTCAGACATAAATAAGGAGATACAAAACTTTGACAAACAAATCTGTGGCTGAAAGAAGCCAAATAGAAATAAATATATCTGACATGGTGTGAATCACATACCAAACAGTGTGAGACATACCTATGTGCAAATCCTTCTGTGAAGATATCATGTCTCTAATGGTCTGGTTATGGCACAATGTTAAGAATGTGCTCAAGGGTCGGATCCGAAGGGCTTAGCTTCAGCTCGTGTGCTGCGCCCCTTACCCGAGTACGTGCCCCTGACTTCCGAGGGTTGTCGAACGATGTCCGAAGTTTACCAGACGATGTCCGGAGGGCGTCGGGCGATGTCCGGAGTCCGATGTCCGATGCGTGGGAATTCCGGCGGACGTTCGGAAACAAGAGATAAGACTAATCCGGATGAAGTCTGAACTAGAAAGGAAACAGCAGAGGACTACCAGAGGTAGAGGCGGAGGTGACAAGTCTATAGGAGTCGATCCTAAGACGAGCGGAGGTCGACAAGAGAGAAACTCAAGTCGGACGGAGGAGGGAATGAGCAGAGTCTAAGATGATATTCGAACTAAGGATGTACATAGATTCTACAGGGTTTATATACTACTGAGGACTTATCGGAGAACAGAGATGCGCAGTCTGAAGCTATATGAAGCTGTGGACGGAGCATATAGAAAAGTCAAACGCTAGTCTATCGGAAAATAGTAAATGAACCCGGAGATTAGAACAGATGAAAATAAAGGCGGAAATGAAATGAGGTACGGAAAATGATATAGTCTAACTGGAGTAGGAACGTACAAAGGGATAAGGCATGGAAGTTAGACGCGGGTCGGATCCGGACATAGATAGACGTCGGCCGGATCTGGGCTTCCGGAAATGATGTGTGTGATAGGTCCGGGTCCGGAACGTGGGATATGACACACAATCGGACAACTATATCTGGAAGCACTTGCCATGTCTGTGGCTAAAGCAATTAGTATGTGTCTGACTGATCCTTTTCATTTTGTGGCTGTCTTTTATCTATGGCATCTTACATTGACATGACAAATCAGCACAAGTACGTGTAGATTATCTCAATGTTAGTGAACTGATGAGTAGTCATTTAAGATGGCACCATATAGTTGGCTCTCGAAGGAGCAGCAGACCTTTGTGCTCACCTACCATGAGAGTTTTCTTGAGTGCAAAAAAAGGGAAACTACAACAATTTCTGGCTATTCTTTTTCGAGAAGTGGGAAGAAAATTAACCAATCACTCTGGAAGACTCATTGGAGCCCCTAGATGAGAACACAAGACTTGAGCAGATAGCTAAGGCAAGGGATGCCCTTTAGATGGTAATATTTGTATCCTAATCAGTGTATTCAAATATTGGCTAATCAGGTATGAACCTAGTGTTTGATGGTCAAACTACACAATGACTTTGGTAATTCAAAGATAGGCTGTTGGGCAAACACTGCTGGGAATACCATTGTCAGCAAACTAATTAGCGACATCACCATTAAGTCAGGCAAGAATGCAACTGAGGTTTACACCAAGAAATATTATGCATCGCGGGTGCAGCCTGTAGTCAAGGAGGAACTCGGTGCCATAAAGAACATACTTGACATACCTGAACCCAAAAAGTGGGCAATTCAGGTTGTTCACAAACAACTAGTAACCTGCTGGGAGAATGAAAGTGTGGAGGTGAAGACAAAGGGAACCACTATGCCTAATCTGAATGAGACATCACTGCCAGACACATAGGTGCAGGTAGCCTTGCCAATCCATAACTCCCTCACATATTCTGCTATGGATATCACAACTAATACATTACTTGCTACTATCTCTTCAGATCTACTTCCACACCCAATACATTACTCATGCTGTCAGAACCATCCTTGTTGCATTTAGAAATGTTAGGCACACTTTTGGGACAGTCCACTTACAACTTCTTCCAATTTGCTCCCTCTGATCTTTAAGATGACGACATTGATCTAGACTTCAATAGTACATTCATACTGATGCCGCCCAACTACAATCTACCATCTCTGTTACCTCCCTCTTCTCCAATACAGTCTTTGCCCACTTCCTCTTGGATGAATTGGTTTCCTTCTTCAGGATTCTCTCTAATTTCTACCTCGAGAACTACTCATGATATCTCATCCTGCAATGTGGCAGACTTTAGTTTTGCTGCTCCATACAACAATGTCTCTGCTTCCATGGCAACTCCTGCTCCTACACACACTCCAACTTTGATAGAAATCACTACTTCTGTGCAACCATCTACAGTTGTGCCTGAACCTTCCACCACAGAACCTATTATGGCCACTCCTTCTCTGCCCACCACAGTTGGTGAGGTGTTACTAGTGACAACAAAGGCTTCCAAATGCAAGTCCATGAAGAGCAACACACATCTCAAGACAGTCTCTGCAAAGCGTCAGAAGAGGGAGGATATAGTGGTTTTATCCACTGAGAGCTCGCAGCCCATTGAGGGAGGCCGAGGTAAACAACAGCACTTCTAGTCATCCCGGGCTGCTGCTGTCAATATAATTGGTACAACTCAGGTAAAATCTTCCATGTTCATTCATAGCTGCTCTTGTTAGCATACTGTAATTGGCTTCCTAGTGTACTACATATATGTATTGCTTGAGTCTGTTATGTAATGCCTCATCCTGTGTGAATGGAAATCCTGGAAATCATGTCATGTATGCTACTTGTAATGCTACCACCATACTAAGGACTGAAACACCCAAGCTCATAGCTGAGCAGTATTGACTTTTGACTTGGTGGACTTGGTCAAATTTCTCAAGGTTGGACTTAGTCAAATTTCTGTAGCATTTGAGCTCAACTGATAAATTACTAACTTAAATTTCTGTACTTAGATCTTAGATCCAGTTTTATCTAGCTCTAGGGTGGCTGACACATTCTAACAGGTTGGGCTAAGCCAAGCATTAGCTTGAGGGTGGTACACTAGTACGGTGGAGTTATTGGGAGGGTGGGATATCTGCTCACAAAATTCAAACATATCAAGGACTTGATAAGTGCTAATATGACAATATTTTCAGTAAAGAAATTTGGTGGGCTGCATAACCTAGCACCAGTATAACTGAAAATAGGTGCTGACAAAAAAAAGGAAGCATAGGAGACACAATAAAAATAGATTTGAGCAAATGTAGCCAATATCAGAAGCAAAGGAAACAAGGTATATGCTTAACTAAGCTTGATGGAAGCCAAGAACCTAGACTGGCAGCTGCTAGGTAGGATCCTCCACTGATACATCACTGCTATATCTGCTAGTAATTCTTGGTAGTACAATGATTCATGTATCACCCTCACGTTGATATTACTAGGTTTATAATGTATCATTCTCACAGTATAGCCTGTGCGTCTGGTATACCTTAAAGTAAAGATCCATAGCGCTGCTGTTACGCACTCAAATAGGTCTGTTATGCGGAGCCCTAAGAGGGGTGTCGTCCGCTAACATTCGTGACGTAACTGGAAGGATCCGGTGTAGTGAGTGAGACTGGCGATGTCGAGTCGGCAGCTATCACAGATGCGCATGTCATGTAACTTCTAAGACAGATGTCTCTGAAGTCACTGAAGTCGAAGTAAGGACTAGTCTAGTCCAAATGATGACCGTCGATTGAGGTAGACTTAGATGCAACGAGCACCTAAGAAAGTCGTACTAGAGACAAGAGCTGAGAGGCTCTTGAAGGAAGTAGTTTTGAGGGAAGATTGAGTAGATTCAAGTTAAGGAATCTAGTACAGGATGACCGACTACTTATACTAAGTGGAAAGGGTTGAGGGCTGGGTTACCGTACTGTAGGTAAGGGTAGAGGGGAAACGGGAAGGGTATAGGTATGCTGGCAACACAGCCTAATTAGTGATGGGAGGTCAAATGCAGAATGAGACCAAGGAACATTGGTCCAAACCAATGGTAGTAATACAGTGCACAGCAGGTGCGAGTCAGAGGGAACAGGAAAGGAAAGCCACATTGGTGGTATGAGTCAGGACGAGTCATAGTGCCAGGGCACGTGTGCACATTGGTGCGTTATCAGAGATAAGGTTGAGGATGGGGTGGAGACGAGGGACGGGAACGGTCCCGAGGATCTGGTCAACGGATATTCGGTAAAGGAGTGTGAGCCGGTAGATGGTGAGGGCGAGGATGAAGGGAAAATGATAGGAGGGCCACGTGACCGATGTTACTTGTAACAGCTGCAAGATGCCAGGGAAGACTAAGGGAGTTGTGAGACATCTGTACACACATTGCGTAACAGGTCAAAGTTGGCAAGGAAGGCATAGTTAACAACCTGCTCCTACTGCAGTATTTGTCAGGGAGGGGACATTGCACTAGCAATGATGTTATAAGTGTTAAGGGCATACACCAGAGAGAGGCACATACTTTCGAACACCCTCAAATGCAAAGCCAACTCCCTCACCTATATCCTCACATCCGAGAAAGCGATGGCACCGCTTATAAGATACATCAATAGTACAGAACGATTCAAACCCACATTCGGTGAGCTCCCATTAACCTAAAGAACAGTAATTCACGCAAGCACTGCAACAGATCAGAATACATACACGAAAAACACACTAATATGTACCACCAAATGTACTAACACACCCACACTCTGAGACCGGAGGGAATGGCGCTCACAGGATGAAAGCCAATGTAAGAAGGAGAGAGTAGAAGGAAAGAAGGCCCAAGATCATCAAAATGCGCACACATCAAGAAATGCGCCATACCATGCCAACCAACCTACCATACCAACTCCCCATCACATACTCCCCCTGTATGAAATCAGTGTCGGCCTTTGCCCGACAATATGCTGATGGAGTATGCGTTCAACCACATACCAAACGCATAAGATTACATACATACATACGATAGTAAAACGGGAGCAAGCCCCCCGAGTTAAAGGGCTAAGTCCAACATAGGGTCTACGACCCCAATGGATAATAAACTGGATTTAAAAATAAAATAAAAAGTGTTAAGGGCAGATCTGATAGCCACAGAGCAGGTCTGCAATGCTTTAGCAATATGATTATGTAGTTTATAATCTCGAGCAACACCAAAATCAGTGCTAGTGAGTGAGACTTCATAGGACCTTACCTGTCCCTGCCCTGTTCATCCTCGTAAGTTCAAAAATCTGTGCTACAACCAGACCCTCCAGATAGTCCAGTGCATGTTGGTATCTCCTGTTCACTACAAGCTTCCCCACCTTCTACTATTTCATTTCTTCTAGAATCCAGCACATAGTAACATCCAGCTTACATTCACGTGCTTGAACAAGCTTTAAGTTCCTCTTGTAATCCTCAACAGCATGATGTCATGTGCTTTTGGCCTTGCATGTGGCATGAGCCTGGGTATCATAGGATGTAACATCCTGATGTGAGTCCATTTGAAAGATGGACATTGCAGTGTTGAGAGCAAGACTGTGATAAAAGTTTTATCAATATAGGATACATAGTACAATAAAAAAAGCCCACCTGCTCACACTCAGATTTACTAACCTCTGCCAGTATTTCATCTGTAATGTTTCTTCTTCAGGCTCTCATGTCAATCCTTTCAGATAAGCTTTTTCTTTGTCTAGTCAAAATTCAAACATGCTATCATTCATGACACCAAGATCTTGCATGACCTTTGGTAGTACAGTATCACTGTTTGCTAAGATGTCAAGGGCTTGCTTGTAATTACTGTACAGAAAATTGACTAGTCACATAATGATTGTGTCAGCCACTGGCAGCACTCGCAGATGATAAGTTTACTTACAAAGATTTGCATATACCTCAAAATCATTGTTGTGATCGAAATAAGAGTCGATGGCCTATTGACAGTAGAATATATTGGCATAATGTAGAGCAGATGCAAGGGAATTGGACTTGGAGAATGTGCATTTGCACATTTCCAGGCCCTCAATTCTGAGACCTTTAATGTAAGTTGTCAAGGAAAAAAGCTGACATAAGTGTTAGTATGAGTGTCCATGGAATGCACCAATAAGACATGTGTGATGAAGTGAGCATACAAGTGGTCTGAGTGGACTGTGATTGAGTGTGATCTTGAATTAACATACAATACAATACGTAGTATGTCTGAGATGCTAGTTAGGTGAGTCCCATTGGAGAGATTTCATTACCATAATGGCTACATTCTGTTTAATTTGAAGGTATACATCAAAAGCAATAGAAAATTAGTGTGATAAAGTAGCAGTGAAATTCAACCTGCATATATTTAGTGAGCACAAAGACTGAAAGGCAAAAAAACATACCCCATGTAAATCATACATAGTTTTAACAAACACTTGGATGGAAAGATAAGGGCTTCTAATGTGTACCACATGATATAGTTCAAGAGCTTCAGTAGTGATGCCCACCACTGGCAATATTGGAGAGCAAGGTAGGTGTCATGTCATATCCCACATTTCAGACCTACATTCAACAATGTTCCCACACCTCATCTGGACCTCTGGATCCCATATCCATATCTCCAGACCTTCAGTCCTCTTCTCTAGATCCAACCTATATTTCATATACCAATCCAAACCTTAAATCAGCGCCCATCCCCTTATGGTAATCACCTGTCTCAGGTCTTTGGTTATCTCTTTTTCCGTTTTGCTTATTAAGCCTGGTATGAGTTTCATCTCCGAGTTTATTTCCTTATTTACTAATACATTTCCACATGCTCATACATAGCCTTACCCCTCTGCTTATTAATCTGCACAGATTTGCCTCCAGTATGTATACTCCTGTAGAAACTCCTGTATTTCCTCAGTCTGAATATCATATTAGTCCTCACACTAGATCTCACTCCAAGTCCTCATACTAGTTCCTTCCTTGTGAATATCCACCTTAGGCCTAGGGAGGAATTCTCTAGGCTGGAGCTCCACACCTCTGATTCTGAACTCCTCTGAGTTTCCAGACATTTCTCCAGAACTTTCCCATGGTCTTCCAGAGCTATTCTGCTTTAGACTTTGTTCCTGCAGCCTTTTCTCTGTTTGCAACTAGTGGTGTCTTGTTACTTAAGGGTCTTATATAAAAGTTTGTGTATAATGACAACACAATTATACATGATGAAGACTATAATTCCACAGTCTCTAACTTTTCTACTTTGTGGGAGGTAATGTGGTGAGTTCTTGGGAGGATTTAGTTTGTTGTCCTCTTCTTGTGTAGTCTTATACAAAGTGTTGTGGAATGTTCTGTGTTCTGGATAATTCGTTAGGTTTGTTTCAGCCTAGTAGGTTGTGTTTCAACCTATGAAAGTCTGTTTCAACTTTGTTGTCCTTAGATTCGTGTCTCACTTTCCGTTGAAAGAGAGAGTCTTATGTATACATGTAAAGCTTAGAATTTATATAGCCAACCCCTGTAAGGTAGTATATAACTTTTTAGAGTAGAATAATGATATGTCCTATGGTGTGAATCACTTAGAGGCCGCTTACTTTGTGCAAATATTTTGACTGTTCAAAAAAGGTCAGAATCTTAATCTCTCTTGGGAAAACACTCCTTTCAAAGGTAGGAACAAAATCCTAAGATAGATTTTTCATTGGATCAAAACTGAGTGAGCAAAATATTTCAGTCAGGTCCAATTTGGCGCATGGGTACTATTGCTACCAAACACTTAGTCAAATGCGCTCGCAACAGCATCTGGAATGCGTCTATGTGATTTATACGTTGTGGAACTGAATTTACGGACTTGTATTTGGGCATCTTTGGTATCCAGTCCTGACCGGTAAGCCTCCATCCAGCGGTACATCCGGTGTTCCCACCTATGAATCGTTTGAAGAGGAACTGAGGCTAATGCTTTTGGCATGTTCTCCTTCAGCATGTCGAAAGTATAGTCGCAATTGTCATAAAGATATTTTTTCACCATACCCCAAAAGAACTCAATGAAATTGAGCTTGCAATGAAACTTTGGCAAGAAAAGGCATAAATGACCAGCTGCCTTGATTACTTCCTGCACCAGAGACCTTTGTTCACGAAAATCTTCTTGAAGTTCCAAGATGTGTTTGTTGCAACAATTGGTTGCATCAGCATTGCACCTGTTTTCGCACTTGCTATGAAGCTGTGGCTGATACAGACCCCGTTCAGTGAGGACTGCTTTAATTTCTTTCGGCTGATTTGGGTATTTGGGATGTCCGTCGGGAAAAATCATTGACTGAACAAATTTTCCCTGTCCATTCTAGTACCATCCGCTGCGCATACAGGCCTGTTTGCCACCTGGTTTTACATTCATGTGTGAGGTGAGCAGTGCATCTTCTGAATATGCTGAGTGGCCTTGTGAGTTATCGATCAGGAATAATGCTTGATGGCCTGCACCATGCACCCTTTCGAAGGCCAGAATTATTTTTTTGGTCAACTGTAACATTGCACATATGATTACTAATGACGCAGTGAAATATAGAATTAACAGCATACCTGCTTCACGAAGTGCTCTCCTGTCCAATACCCTTCGTAATTTTTCCCATATTCGAGAGTCTGACTTGCTTCCTTCAGCCAACCAGTAGTTGAGCAGATTACATCGCTCTTATGGACACCACAACCAACACCCTTCTTTCATAGACAATGTTCATCACCAAAAACCCAGCTCTTGCTACTCAAATCATTTGCTTGTGCTGTCATTTCGTCATGTTCAACAAGAATGAGTCGCTGCTCAACATAATTTGCAGGTTGCACCTCCAATTCTTTTTCCACATCTCCAATGTAACGAATAAATCTTGGTTCGTGTTTCTTCATCATTGGCAGAAAGTGGTCCTGGCGGTACAAGACAACATCTGGTCTGTCATGACCATCAAAATATAAACCTTTTTTGTGTGAGATATATCGAAAACCTCAAGCCTGAAGCCCTTGCATCCCTCCAACAAACTTTGTCTTTTTTGCTTTCAGCAACTTCTCCAAATCCTTGAATGTGCTCTCCAAGTCTTCCAGTTGCTGTTTCCTTTTTCTCTCTCATTGCACACAATATGGGATATCAAGCTTCTGCTGCTTGCAAAGTGGAACTGCTGGCTGGCGGCAACCTGGACTCGCAGATTTTTCTGTATGTGTATCGTTGCCTTCACTATCATCTGTCGTGCTATCTTCATCATTCGAAAGATCAGAAGGATAATTGACCAGATCAGCAAGATTCTGATTTTCGGTGGTGGGTTCCATTGTAATGGTGTTTGCAGGAGGTCCAGGACCTGTTGAATTTGTTCGTCTCATGACATCTGGACCCTCCGACTCGCAAGAAGTGGCCTTGAAAAAGTTGTGCATCATGGATATTTGAGGATCCTTACTGAGTACATTGTCAGTACTATTGATATTTCAAAACTGAAATGACCCACTAACGAGCTTTTGGCCTCCTCATGAATTGCTGCTTGATTTTGTGTCTCCTTTGCTCTCCGTTGTTGTGTCCGCTGTGAGTTACCTGTGTAACCCAATGCATGGTTTTTCTCTGCTTTCTTCCATTCAACAGCTGATTTCTTCATTGCAATCTAAGCGTATTTCGGGAATGCCTCAAGAGCTTTATCATGAGCTGAGCTCATGTAAATTTGCATCAAGCTCGTCTCCTTCCAGTTCAACCATGCTATCCCTGTCACTTTCTGACCCATCGGACCACTCTGACTCTGTCGCAGAATCATATTCAGTGTCGGAGAACTGAAAGTTCACACCTCCAGTATATCCACAGTCCTGTTTGCTGGAGGAGTCATAATCGATCTCAATCACTGCAGGGTTGGATGTGGCAGGCACAGTGTTGGAGTCACTGGTTTTTCGAGCAGCGCAGGGCCATCTTGCAGCTCTTGCATGAGCGGCAGCAGCCCTCTGTTGTTTAGTGATCATAGTGCTACTACACAGACTCAATGTACTGTATTTTCATTAAAATTTTCAGCTCGTCAAACTAGTACATTTTTGAACCATGCTGACATCAATTTCCGATTTTTTCGCCTTCGATTTGGCACTTGCACAAAGTAAGTGGCCTCTAAGTGATTTGCACCATAGTTTTACTTCAAGGCACTGTGGCTGCACTTTTATTCTTACGTACTTTCAAACAGTTTGAAAGAAGAATGAACAATGAGAAGTTATATTTCATGGGTAAAATGGGTTCCTTTTATACCTTTTGGGAACCCCCTTAATAAGCATGATTTATCAGATGAATTAGTAAGAATGTGACTTACAAACCAGGTGATGAATCAGCTTTTACTAATATATTTTTGAGGCCCAGCTGGTGGATAAAAGTTACCAGCATTATTAGCAACTAATTCCCAAATCTTTGTAAGGCCTAGCTGGTGGATGACAGTTGCTGGCATTGGCAACCAATCCTCAAATCTTTTTGAGACCCAGCCAGTGGATGAGAATCAACATACATATCTCATTGGCAGACACTAATCATCTGGATTGCATCAAGCTGTCACAAGTACTACATATGCACAAAAGGTCTACTATGGGCATATTTAAAGATTGTCGCTGAGAACAGTGCAGTTCTAGTCCTTAACTTGGGACCACAAATTATTAGGGCCAGAAAGGGCCACCTGGAATAGGAACCACCTGCACTCTTCCTTTATTGTACTGAATCATATATATGTCATGCACCTTCTGGAATGAAGGGTGGGATTTTTGAATGTTGCCACTCATAAAATTAGTTTATTCAGCAACATCAGTCCTTCAACAATTATTAACATTATCAGAAGTACTGATTGACGACACTTACCAATGGTAGAATACTTCTACTTCTTGTCCGACAGTGACCACCCAAAAGCCCTCTGGACCTATACCTGCACATGGTGGCAGGATCTTGCTGGGCTTAGGAACCACCAGAATATAAGAAGGGAATTGTGTGGCTGTTGGTACTGGAAATCTAATTGCAGCTTCTTATGTCAGTGAGCTAGCTGGATAGTCTCTTGCACGGTCTTGCACGTCCAAGTAATAGTGTCCAATGATGAACCTATTCCTGAGTATGAGCTTGTGGTTCCATTTGGAAGGGAGATATACATATCTGAGAGGGTAATACTTTCAAGCAAGTGATGGAGGTCTTGAATATGGTCATCATTAGTGATAGCAGATGGTGATGGACTGTGTGACATAGAAGATTTGAAAAGGAAACACCCAACAATGATACTAGAAGGTAGGAGATTGGTGTCACAATGATTAGTCATGATATGACACTGTAGGTCCTGATCAGTGGTCTGGTTCTTTGAGAATCATGCAAGGATTAGTTACATGTAAATATTCATTTGAAAATTATCCCTGGTATACATATGTCAGTAAGATATGCGGGATTCTGGGATACATAAGACTCGATGGGTTCGGAGTAACTTGTCCCTGCAGTCCATCCAGCACATAGGATTGTTGAGGGACAAAAATAGACTCCCCACTAACAGTGTCTCTAGGGTAGTCAAGTATAGGACACTGGTCCAGCAAGCAGCCAGTTGCCAAGAGCGCTGTGAAACACATCTACAAAGTAAGTTGTATATATATAAAGTAGTTAAAAAAGGTTTAATTAAAAGTACTTACCTTTATAAAGCAATGACTATCAATGAGTGTTGAGACCTTGCAGAAACCATCCACTTCAGTCACCCCTCTCAAGGTACCTCTTAGGTACATATATTCTAACTTAAAATCCCACCTAAGGGGTATAATCTTAGATGGTATTCCCATGCAATACAGGTTGTAACCTGGGCCATTCCAATACTTTCTCTGAGAAACCTGGGCTCACTGGGCCAATGTATATAGTCTGTCCCATGACCCATCTGGGATGTCCCAAGTCCCTTATGATTTTAATAACCAGGGGGTGCCAGGGGTCACTTCTAATAAAAGATTGCCTACACATTCAGACACTCAGAGTATAGTATTTGTCTGCAATCAATGGTGTTGTGGAGGTCTGTCATATAGCATATATGTGTGAAGGAGGGTAGTGTAACATACTTGCTATCCTGACTATATGACCAGCATATTACTACAGAACAACATATAGACATAGCCTTTGTCCTGATGCTCTGATGCTGAAACTTTGATACATATGATGCGGAATAGCCCAACACTTTTCACATAGTTGTTGGGCCATCCCAGGGCTATAATACACATGATGTGGGATAGCCCATACCTAGTTGATATAGTCACTGGGATGGCCCGGCACCCTGATACACATGATGCGGGATGGCCCAACACCCTGATACTGTTAAGACCATGCACAAAGGGTAGGACTGGATCCGAGGGGCTTGGCTTCAGCTCATGCGCTGCGCCCCTTACCCGAGTATGTGCCCTTAACTTCAGAATGAAGTCTGGAGAGAGTCCAGTGAAGTCCAAAGGACTTCCGGATGAGTGTGGGAAACTTTGGAAGGACTTTCCGGACAAGTGCGAGAAACTTCCGGATGAGTGTGGGAAAGTCCTGGAGGAACTTCTGGAAATTACGATGGAGTTTTGTCCTGACAGGGATATGTGTAATGGCCACTCAGGACAAGTCCTGAGTAGAAGCAAACAGAGGAAAGGCTGCAAGGACAAAGTCCAAAGCAGAATAGGTCCAGAGAATCGCGGGAAAGCTCCGGAGGAACTTCCAGAAACTTGGAGGAATGGTGGATCGGAGGATCGGAGGATCGGAGGACCAGAGGACCAGAGGACCAGAGCTCCGGCCTAGGGAATTCCTCCCTAGGCCTGAGATGGATAATGACTAAGTCGGAGGACTAGAACTGTTACGAGGACTTAGTGTGAAGACTAGTGCGAGGACTAATATGTGATATTCAGACTCAGGAAGTATAGCTCATGAGGGTGGCGAGACAATGGAGGAAACTCAAGCTTCTCAAAAGGAATGGCTTCGGCCATGAGGAAAAGGAAGTCAAACCCGGCGATCTAGCTCTGTTTTGTCCAGCATGTCCATAGCCAGGCATTAATGTCACTTTGCCTGTCAGAGAACACATGGAGGATCCAATTGTGAACAAAGTATCAGATTTACAGACTCCAAGTTGGCTATATATGAGATCACTCATCATGGATGGTAACTTCAAAGCCGAGCATCTCCATCCAGTAAATCCTGGCGATGAGGTGTCTCTCATAGACGGCCATGGGTTTATGGTAGGAGATGCCTTGTACAAGGAGCATTTGGCCATTGCACAAGACACCATTCAACGATCAGAATGCAACAACCACTGTGCGGTGAATTAGGCAAATGCATCACGTCACAGATTGGAAGCAACCAGCATTGGCGGTTGCGCCTGTGCATGGCATGGCAGTTTTGTTCTTCACACCATGGTCAATTTTCAGAAGGGAGAAAGGTGCGTCAAAATATGTCAGTGAATGTATGCCATAGCCGAGGTGATTCAGACAGATGAACATGGATTATGCATTGTGCGAGGCGTTGAAAATCAACACCGATGGAATCCACCATGCGTTGACATTTTACAATGTCAACTGTCAGTACCACAAGCGTCTAAAGGACTGCATCACCGAGAGTCCAATCCTGGAGATCCCTAAAGAACTGAATATTATCCCCAGCATTTGACTGTGGCATGTCCATGCCATCAAGACAGTTGCTATGTGAGATATGCATCAAATTTCATCGAGGGCGCCAGGCAGATTGATGGCAAAATCATGGAGACATTATGGACACCATTGAATATCATCTTGTTGGTCACCCGTGGAATGGGAACTCTGCACCGCAAGGAATGCTTGGACTATCAAATGAATGACTGCAATTTCATGCAAATGATCAGAATGAGTGCGTTCTCCTTCCTATATATTGGAACAACTCATAATAGGCCATGCAGGCAAGTCGCTGTGCAAGAAGTACAACAAGGCGGTCAGGGGGACCGCTGACAGTAAACTGGTGTTTGGAAAGCTTGATGAGACAGCTGATCCTGTGAAAGTTTGGGAATGGGAAGCCCAAGAGAGAGCGGCACACCAGCGGTGCCGCTGTGATCCAACAGCAATGGATATTTATGAAGTACAACTACAGAAAGGTATGTGTGATGCATGTATAGCAAGTCTGGTCTCATCCAACTACAGTGCCGATGAGAAAGCAGCAGGAAATACAATTATTAGCAGAACAAGAGCAGCGTCCAGGTCCTATCCAGCAACGAGGTGCTGCGACATGGCTGGCAGAGGGATTGACAATTGAGGAGGCACAGGTCACATTACAAATGGCTATTAGAAGACTCAGTGCTCAGCTGACAGACACACAGTGGTTGCGTATTGTACGTGGCTGAGACATTTTACAAAGGGATATAGACCATTGGAGACAAGCTGGACTTTTGTTTTTCGGCAATAGCATCAGCAATGCGCCCGGAGATGGTCAAGAATGTAGCATGGAAGTGGACCTCATCATGCTTGAAGAAGAATCAGATGCCAGAATAGAAAATCAGCCAAACTCCTATCACCCAGAGAAGACAGTCATTCTCCTGCCGTCTAACTTAGGCCTGGATACATGTACAGCCATCGGCATCGATGATTTGGTCAAAGATACTAGACAAGAGATACGAGCACGAGGTGTCAAAGAATAGATTTCTACTATGTTCTCCTAGGTAGTATGTGGGTAAGTGGGAGGTAAAGTCCAAAGTTCGAAAGTTCCTAATAGTATGTAATGCTGGCGCTTATATACGGCGCCTAAGCGCTGTCACGCGGAGCCGAAGCGCTACCGAGTAAGGTATGTAAGTAAGGGTCCATGATATAAATAAAGGTGGGATGATATGTAAATAAGGGAAATGGAAATACAGGCACTAGAGAGCTTGGTGGACAGTGGATGGATGCTTCCGGAAGGCTGGCACTATAGGGCGATCAAGTGCGGGAAAGCGCGCGCGCATATACATCGTAAAGCGCGGGAAAGGTGCGCGCATGGCGCGCGTTGCACGGGAAAGCTGCGCCTCATATAGGGATAGCTGCAGATAGCACACAGAGTGATGCTACAAGTTCGTGCTATGTACTCCCTAGTGAATACTGCCATATCATGCAATGAGAGGCATGAGTCTCTACACCGGCGCCATGTCAGTCATGCTGATCTCGCCAATGTGGCGGTTTACTGTGTACATTGGCTTCGGGCAAAGGCTTTAAAGGATCGTTGGGCGGAGGAGATTTTGCTTGTGCAGCATGAAATGGAGTGGACTTGCAACTTTTTTGTTCACAAGGCTGAGGAGTGGAAACATCTCAGTGTCATTGCGAAGGAAGCCAAAAAACAAGGTTCAATGACTTACGCAGGGAGGCAGGGAAAAATCTATGAATGTTTGTTGGAGGAGGCTAGACTGGCATTTCACCAGACGAAAGCTCAACCACCAACATGGGGTATGAGAAGTAATGTCGATAACTTGTAGTCAAATCAGGTTCACACCGATGTTTTACCTTCAAATATCTCGGTGAGACCATTGGTTATGTGGTGCCGGAGTATGTACCGTGCATCCATGGCCATTTTATTCTCACTATATCCAACTGGCGGATTTATATATACAATTAAATACAATGGTTATACTACATAGCATTAGCCCAGACCCCATACTCATTGGGCCCCCTCCCACTTTAGATACTTCATCAGTTTTTCAGTGGCAGTGATGGCATTGACGATGTCCTGTCCTAATGTGGTGTCCATGCAAAACATGGTGGCGGCGACCATTTTGGCCTCAATCACTTTGTCTTCCAGCATCTTGACAATTAGTTGGCCTTCATGCAGCACCTCGGCGTGGATGGTAGACAGTTGCTGTGCAACTGGCGTGGACATCAGGTGAGCGAACATTGCTGGCATGATGAGAATCTTTCCCTTTGGCTATAGCCGGCGTCAGTGACAAGTCATGATATAAGTGGAGAAGACTTTACCAATTGTTTAAAATGTTCGCCGATTATGTCCTGAACCTCAACACAATTTGGATAAGTGTTGAAGAAGTCCTGGTCAGCCTTCAGGTCAGCTAATTCCATCCACCATGGTGTCCAATATGTCCGGGCCATTCGACCCTTCTGCCACGGTCCAGGTGGCGCAGCCGGCAAGGTCATGAAGGCATCATACACCTCCTCATAATTGCTGAGGAGTTCGACCTGTTTCATGGACAGCACACCAATGAAGAATCGGAGATTTCTTGACAGCGGTGGGCTGATGGACATCCCTGCACAAAAGGACATCCACGGCAAAGTGAAGGACTGGGCTATTCATTAGCTCGGCGGGCAGGTGATAGGCAATGTACTTACCTCTCCTTCCCAGTTCAAGTACTTGCCGATGATCTGGTGGGTTCTTTGCGGTAAAGTGAGATTTGAAGTCTCCAGCTCAGTCCAGATTGCCGATAGATGGGAGGAATCATACTCAAAAATGCTAGCAATGTTGGACATTTCCAAATTCATTTTGTCAGACATTGAGTCTGCCGACATAATTGCAGAGATGGAAGGATTGGACATGATGAAATTGTAGTCTGAAATCGTCATGGGCAGTGCCTTAAATAGATTTAAGTGATCAGGATTTTAATTACATAATGATGTGGGGCTGGAATATTTTATTGTATTGTGATTCAGCAGGTGTTGCCGAAGTGTGAGCTGGTCAATGGTGGAACATCTTGTCTGAAGTGGTCATGTTCGGCAAATGCCGTGGAACAATTAAGTAACGCATAATCCACCGCCACCATGGTCACAGCGGAGTTATATATATATAGTGTTAGAGTTTGTCGCTGTTCCTCATCTTGAACTCATACCAAAATGTCCTCTGCCAACAATATCGCCAGCCGCTAACAAGGCCTTCAGCGACGCTGCCAACAGGATCAACCACCTGCTGGGGCAAGCTTCTCAGTTAGATGCCACGGATCCACGCCACTTTACCATAGCCATGGAGATGGGCAAGGTTTTGGTAAGTACTTGTTACATATTGTAGAGTTACCTAATTTTTTGCAGACCCAGGTTATGATGTCCCATGGCGGGAGTGTAACCATCCTCTCGCTGCTGATATTGTCGGCTGCTGCAGAACTGCAGCAGCATATGAACACACCTAGGACCAGCCTCACCGGCACACCTGTATGGGCCAATATACGAGGTGATGATGTGTGCATCCAAACTTACCCTCTTTTCCCCTCCACCAGGAATTTCCGGTGCAGCCTGCCGCCCAGCCAGGGCCCTTCTAAGCCCAGAAAGCGCCCTGTGGTGGAGGAGCCCGAAGAACATGGGAAACGTGCCCATGCTCCCAGCACCAGAAGATGGAGCCGCCCGGCGATGTTGAAGCGACAGCACCAAAAGTCTAGGGTGGTTGTCAGCAGCGATGATGGGCTGGATGAAGAGATCCCAGCGACACCAGCCATCTCAGTAAGTCAATGCATTATCCTTGCAACTCACGGCTAACACCATGTCCAGACCACCACCAAAGCGTGCCGACAATATGTGGAAATCAATACTGAGGAAGATATAGATGAAGAAGCCAATGAGGAAGATGCTATGGAACTGCCAAGGAAATCCACTGCTGCCGTTGTTGCCTTGCCGGTAAGTCCTGATTCAGTGCCACATTCCAGAAATGACATTGATGTCCGAAAGATTCCCTCCAGTCCCGATTTAATGGAGGATGAGTTTGCTAATCCTTTGGCAGAAGTGTGGGCTCCCTGCTGTGGGCAATGCATCACGTGGGACCTCATTTGCCGCCAGGCGTACCGTAAGGATCATGGCAGAAAATTATGTGTCTGTGCCCTTTGCAGCTGCTTGAAGATTAGATGCAGAGGCAAAGGGTCTGATGTGCCCAAGATGAAACAAAAGTCTGTAACAGTGCGGTGAGCTCGCGCTCAATCTCGGTGCCATTGCTCGCCTGTAGCAGGTAAGTCTCAGCCGTTTGACTTTAGCTCCTTACCAAATCCCACAGATCCTCCAGTGCATGCTCTGGCCGTTAGCGAAGTGGAGGAGGAGCAGCCACCAATGGTGCAGTCAGTCCCAGATTTGGGCTGAACCAGCACTCGCCAGTCCCTCCAATGAGGAGTTGCAGGATCTCCAGGATGAAGTTGCTGGCCTTCAGGCGACTGTTGAAGCCTTGCAACAGCAAGTCATCAACGGTGACCAGCAACTTCAGGAGAGATATGCAGCACAAGAAGAACATGCCAAGCTGCTGGCGGATGAGCTTGAAGGTCTTCGCCAACTTGCCATTTCAGTAACCACTCATCTAACCACCGAGACCCCTCCCACCAATGCACATCCAGGTGCGCAATCCCCATCGGCGGCCACCACTCAGCTGACTCCTGCCACAGAGATCCAGCCAAGCGCCGAACCATCATCAGTGCCCCCCAATGACACTTCATTCCAGCCAGCCACCCAACCTGAGGGTACCTCAACTGAGGCCCATCTTGCACTCCCCAATCTCCCGGCCACTCCTCAAGCTGAGGTTGATTGTTTGCCAGTGATAATGAAGGCTGATGAGGATGTGAACTAACTGTAATGTAAAATTCTTTTCACTTATGTTTCCTGGTACTATAGACACATGTATTACTTAGTTTGATCACAATGGAATGGAAAATGGGCATGATATACTGCCCCTGTATACCCACCCCATGACATATCTGTGATCCTTGAATGGTTGATGACCTGCCGGTGTTCTGCCGCTATGCAAAGATTTACCAGGAATGGTAATTCCACCGATGTGCTATTTACTCACGCCGCGCACAGCAGCACTCACCCTGAACCTACCGTATATCCGGCACCCGGCCAATGTGCCATTGTATTTCGGCACCAGGGCCCATGCTTATATACAGTTTACCAGAAAGGAGCCCACCATATTTGTGAGATGTGATATGAGTCTATTCAGATTTGTAGTGTTACACAATGGGAGCTCGTCTGTATATAACACGGTATTTGTCATATCCCATATATTCACGCTTCTCTTCCAGACTTCGGACCCTTAGATCTGGTCTGGTCTGATGCATAGATCCGCGTCCGATCCGATATCCGATAAGCTTCTTAATTCATTTCCTGTTCATATAACGTTAAACACAGCCTATTCGGTATTTCCTCTTCCCGGTGTCTCGGTTATACTTATTACCGGTATGATTACTGATCCGTTATCCTATGCTTCATTTCCGACTCGCATCTGATAAGCTTTGCATATGCTTCATACATAACCTCAGACCTTTGCTTATTGATCCTTCCGTTATCCTCTTAGTATATAAACCCGTGTATATTTCCTGTAGTACCTCAGTTTGAATATCATCTTAGTTTGTCCTCTTTCTGTCCTCCGGACTTGAGTCTAAACAACTCCTGTCAATCTCTGAGACTTCGGATCGATTCCGATAGTCTATACTCTGTTTGTTTCTAGTCCGGATCCGTCCGGATTAGTCTTATACGTCTTTCCGATATCCGGAAGTCATCCGGATATAACTACGAGACTCGTCCAGACCTTCGGACGTGTTAATGTTAAGTCTTTGAAATAAGGGACAGTACTTGGGAAAGGGGCACAGCGTACGAGCTGAGGCCGAAGTCCTTTGGATTCGATCCTACGACCTTGACAGTATTGGTCTAGGCCCACCGCTTCACTGACTGCATGCATTAGGCCCATGACCTATCTCAGAGCATATATGGGCCAATGTGTACAGTGCTATACATGGTGTGAGCCTTGCCATAGAAAGCGCCGCATCTAGCTGGGCCCATATCCGCCATCCAAGGTTATGGCGGGCCCACTGTAGCATTTTGTATTTCTAGGGTGGGCCTGTGTCCCTAAGTTCAAACCTTCATGTGGGCCCACCGCCATTGTTCACATACCGCTGGCAGGCCTAATCATATTGTTATACATGGCATGAGCCTCACCAAACAAAGGGTACAATGTAGCTGGGCCCATATGCGCTTCCGGCAGATTTGGTGGGCTCCCTCTGCTATTCTGTATTTACAGGGTAGGCCTGGATCCCATAGTTCACACCTTTATGTGGGCCCATTCAATGCCCAGAGCCTGATCCAGGCCCACCCTCCTAGGGCACCCACCGATAGTGGGCCCGCTCCTGTGCTGGAATGTTGTGGGCCTGACACAACATCGGGGTACCACCCAGTGTGCCAGAAATTGGATTGACCCAGCGGGTCATGCACATTCGCCAGGCAATGCCGCCGATGATGCACATTTTTAAAATGATCGCGCCGGATGTGCCTGCCATTTTCACTTTTCGACGAACACTTGCCAAAGTTTTGGAAATTTGTTCCCTGCTCATAGTTGGAATCATACAGCCGGCGGTGGTTGTGAGTTGCACGCGCTGGACATCCGATGTACCATTTCCTATACCAGTGGACACTCGCCAATGAGTTTGAAGTGCATGCGCCGGCAGCAACAATGGTGATCACTTGGCCAGCCGGGTTTGCAATTCACATCCACTGGTATATCTAATGTTCACCGATCTTGATGCCATCGGCAAATGTAATTTAGCTACATCTGAATTCCACGGGCCCACCCCAAAGTCTCGAGAGATGGCCATTCTGCTGTACTATAGGCCCATCCTTAAATAAAATTCTCCTCCATCCAGACACCCAAGGGTCCACTCCAGAGTTACATATAACATAGATAGGGAGCCCACAGCTATCCACTGGGCACACAGCATGCAAGAGCCAACCCAGAGACATACACCTACAACATATGCTGGGCCCATGGTGGGTTAGCCCTGGTGTCATGGAAGAAATGTCAAGGTGGGCTAACCATGTTTATAGGGTTAGGTCACTGAAGGGGCTCCTTCTCCAACAAGGACCTGTACAATAGAATCATGAAGGTCACTTGCATTGATTGTTATCCACAAAGATGGCCTGCATTTCTTTATTTTTGTTCCTCAAATCTGACCTCAATAAGATGCATGTAACTTATCTGACCCTTTTACACGTCCACTGGTGGTGAAAACATGTTTACATAGTAGGCGAACTCGAGGATTGGATATGGGAACATGTGCTGCTTCCTCCTTTTTAGCTTGTTTCAAATTGGCTACAGTTATTGAATTGATCACCCATGCATCTTGTTTGAAGTCCTTTTGGCACATCTGAATATGAGCTGATTGTTGAGCTTCCCATTTCTGTTCAATGCTGAAAGCAACAAATGGGAAAGAATGATGGGTGTGAAAACGACGGTCATAGTATTGCAGTGTCCATCGTATGTGTTTATTGAAACCAATATTCTTGTCTCTTGTTGCCTATATCCCACTAATGCCATATGGAAATAGAACTGGATATGCTGCAGCCAATGGATTAAGGTTCAAGTTACATTCACCATGCTGATCCGACCCAAAGTCAGACACTGGAAATAAACTGTGTTGGATGGCATATCCGCCCTCCTTTGAGTCAACTCTATTCTCCATATTTGCAAGTGCATATTTCATGAGCTCGTTCAATGATAACAAGTTCATATCAGTATCTGTGACTCCAAGAAATTGTAATGGAATCACATCCACATCCACTACAACATCACATTAAAAAATGAAAAAAGCTAAACAAGTGATCGAGAAACAAAATTGAAAATTGATACTAACCTTACATTAGATTGTGATTATGCCTCACAACCTTCATGTTGTTGACTATGTGATAGGGGTCCCAGGAAGTCTCCATGATGCCAATGCATTCTCAAGAACATGAATTGCATGACATCCTGAAATTTTTTTGGGAGTGGATGAGTGGATCTGGGCTGATGCATCACGTACGTAGTGTGTTGTTCCTTTTAAACGCCCTGTGGCTGGTGGTCTGAGGCCGATCCAAAAAAAAAAACACCTGTCAAAAGTAAGTCATTGAGCACACAAAGACTTGTATATATGCTCATACCTAAAATGAAGGTATGTGTTCATTCGGAACATTGCTATGGTTCCCTCAAAGGATGGTTCCAATCACCTTGTGAGCTTAGGCTTCAAATACAGTCACAAAAAGACCTCAATGATGTGAACATATGGACACATTGTTGCCTTATTCTTCACAACCTCATTATTGAGATTGAGGAGGAGCTAGGAAGAAAAAGTACCAATCCACACTTTTGCAAGGAGTCGCAAAGGCAAGAAAATAGAGACATAGACAAGGAAGAAGGTGGTGGTGATGAGGGGTTTATCGAAACAGCTGGACAATTTTTTTGGAACACGTTGATGGGTCACTTGCTTCATAGCAGAGTTTAGATGCTGTGCATGTTGAGAACAAGTCTGAAAGATAACATGTAGTCATAGTACAGCATTGCAAGTACCAAGAATGTGATTAGCAAGAATAGTGAGCATTGAAGATGAAAACAGACACAGATACAGACATGAACAAGCACAAGATCAATTGACGTCATCATCAGTAGTACCGTCCATACCAAAATGTTCCATTGCCAAGCTATGATACTTAGCCTCTTCAAGTCTGATTTTCAACTCCAGTTACCTTGTCTTGTCCTTGGACATGGCACGTTCATGACTATGAGTAGCAACAAATCTGCATGCATCATGTTCATGCTCCACATGAGCTTCATGGGCCTTTAACTTCTTCAAAAACTTAGCATAGTTAAACTTCAACCACTTGTTCGAGGCTTTGGAATCCGAGTTATCCTGCATGTGGAGTAGGAGTGAGTCAGGGGCATCAGCTAGCTTCTTCATAACCTCTGCTCCTAAATCACATGACCACTTGCAAGACTCAGATGCTGATGGACGATGAGAGGTGGCTGGACTTTGACCATGTAGGCCACTGCAACTAGCTTTATGAGAGTACATAGTGAACGACTTCATCATATTCTCAATCCCCTCCGAGTCACCATCAGAAGACTCAGATTGACACTTGACATTCCATGTTGGTAAAGAAGTTGTTCTCATTAGTATGCAAAGGTGGAGAGTCTGGTGACACTGCGTGAAGGAACCTAAGTAGTATGTCTTGGTGGCGAGTCCAGTGAGATATCCAGAGGCCGATTGGTATTAGTTGGTTAAGCCACAGCAGGATATGAAGGTGAATGGCTGTAGTGATCAAGGCGAAGATTTAAGGGGGGCAATGGTGATGTTGTCAAACTTGGTGAATCTAATGACAATAAATCTGTGACTGAGATTTGAGGTGATGGGATGCAAGAATGGGTACGATGCTGCAAAAATGAGGGTTTGTTCAAATGGCTGAGGTCACCATAGAGATTATCATCACTTTCAATTGGTGGACATGAAGCTCCAGCAAGTGTTTCCTTCCTACCAAGTGGTTGTTTGAGAATTTCTCCTGGCTCTAGATCTTCATCATCAAGATCCATCTCACCACTACCTTTATCTTTATTATGCAGAGCTCTAGTAAAAAATTTGAGTGCCTCGCTGGCAAAATCTTGACCAGGGTCTGCTGTCAAAAATGCTGTATTATAGAATGGATTCGTTCTCCACCATCCATGGAGGTCAGACCACCACGGAAATTGCAGAAGAAGCTGAGCTAGTGCCAGATCTCAGGACTTTGTTAACAAACAAAGAAAAAAATACACGTACCAATAAGATTTTTAGTATGAGGGTCTGCATCCAGCTCCTTGATAGACTTCACTCCAGCCCCTGTTTGGCCAAGACCTTTGTTGGCAGCATTGTACTTTTTTCCAAGCCTAAAAAATCTAGTCAATCACACCACTAGATCCAGAATCAAATAATAGTAGATATATGAGATGAACCAACTTTCAACAGGTTTGATCAAGCTAAATGGGTGCTCCTTATATAATGCGTGAATGGTTGGATCTTTATCATTGATAAAAATCACAGCAGCCAGCTGCTGGATATAGTTTCTCTTCTGGATGGACATCTACTATCATAGTTGACTCTTGTCCTTTGCATCTTTGGCCAAGTCAGAGAACAGCTTGATCTGAGCTTCATCATTGGCCTTGCACCACTCAATAAGGTGAGAGGTGCATGCTGAGTACCATTTCTCTCAGTAGAATGCTGAGATCTTTGTAGTTGGTGTTACTTTCATCTTGGAGGGTTGGGGGGACTGTGAGGAAGCTGGAGCTGGTCCATGGCTAGCACGACCTCAAGCTCTAGTATTACTGACTTCCCGTCCATGGCTATTTGTGCCTCGTGCAGACATAGAGATTGATGATGGGCTTATAGTGATAGACAGTGGCGACAACAACAATGACAGCAGTGCAGCAGTGCTGTCAGAGTTTTATTTGTTTTGCAAGTGCAGTGTGTTTGGCTGCATGTTTCAGCTACACTTTGAAACCCATTGTAGAATATGCTCATGTTCTCGTGACCAATACATGAATCACAACCTTTTTCTTTTAAATTAACCTCTTTGTTCTTTTAAAGTTTCACAGTGTCCTTTATATCTAACAGCACAGATCATACACATTATCCGGATTCCCATATAATAGTAAGTCTCAACACTCATTGCACCTTTATTGTGCACTCACAAGCCCAACTGACTATGACCCAGTCAAATAACACAACCTTGACATCTGAGTCCCCCTTTCCTGAAACACCACAAAGTCTCCTACTGGTCCAAGACCAACTGCAATGGCAGCATCTGTACTCAACAAGTTACGAAACAAAGATAGTGGCTTTTATGCTGCAATACCCAAGTTAGCTTATTGTGCAGAATATGGTCAAAAGAGCAATATCCTCATTGTAAAAGGACAAAACTTGGATGAAGATGCTGAATTCATAATCCATGGTGTATTTGAAATCAGTGGTAACAATTTCTACTTTATATTTGACGCCAACTTCAACCCAACAAATGTTTTCCAAGCATGTTTTGCAGATGTCAAGTTAAACTGTAGACTCACAGCAGGACACAATGAAGCCTTCAAATTTTCTTCTGATGATTTCTCGACCATTCTCGACAACATCTGTGCTTTTGAGAAGTTGGTTCTTAGAGAACAGGACTATGAAACAGTATCATCCATGATTCCCTTGACCAAAGGTGAATCAAACTCACACATGCTCTTTTCAAAGTATGTAAATATCTTCTTTACACTGTAGCTTTGTCAACTGACTAGTTGAATTTTAGACCAAGGCTGATGACAAAGAGAATGCTAATGATGAAGTTAATGGTGATGATGAAAATTTGACAGGTAAAATAGATACAACCTATTGGATTCCTCTAACTCATTTATTTTCACTAACAACTGCAGAAAGTCTAGGTTTGGAATACAATATGGCATCTTGGCCAGTTTCTGAACACCACAAAGGGTCATCTTTATGAACTCATGGCTTCCCACAATATCCAACCCATACCTGCATATCATGAAAACCATGATCTTATTCTGCCAACTCAATATGAGTCAAAATTAAAAAGAGCTCTTGTTGAAGTTCATATGGCTATTTACCTTCATCATATTGAATCTTTGAAATGTGACATCTTCAATGCAGTCTTGCAAGAGCTTATTGTACTTGCTCTGCCTGCAGCCATGCCAACAAGTCCATTTAAAAAATGTTGTCTCAATGATACTATCATTCTGGACCCCATATTCAACTGTTAAACACACCATTGGTACCTACCATCACCTACTCTACCATGCACTGATGCCTACTACTGTCTTCTCTAGTCCTCACTACCCTGGTTATTTTAGATGCAGAACAGAAAATTTGACCTGGACCCAGTACTTTTGATAGAGTTCGAGGACTTGTATTTGTATATTGTGAATTTTTATATAGGTGTAATGATGTAGCTGACTGTATGAGACTTTGTGCCATGAAAAACATGACAATGTATTCAGATGAGTGAGAGGAATAAGTCATATATCTATCAACTAGAACTGGTGAGGTGTTGGTGCCAGCCCAAACAAAAATCTAAATTTGTCAACATCATATCAGGATCCATCAACTCATTGGTGGTGAGAGGAGTGCAGTTAGTGGCTGCAGGACTGGAGGGAAGAAAATATGTAATAAGAGAATGTGCAAAACAGAATACACAGATACATGTAATAAGTCTCGCTATCATTTAGTCAAGCTAGAAGAGAAAATAAACACACACCAGCGAAGATAGGTGGACATGGAAAGGACATGGACAGACAATACAGGATGGAAATCCAAAGCATGCAGAGTGGATATGAGTGTGGATACACACCAGATAAACATTGGCTAAGAGGAACTTGCCATTAAGAACACATGACAATGAGGTGGAACCTATATCCTTCAATAGTTCTTGACACAAATATGAAAGACACTCTTTACAGCCCAACAAGGTTCCGAGTGTCACACTAGAACATGGGATATGAGAGCAAGACTCAATACAACATACTAGTGTTAGGTGTTCCACATGCTCCGTACATAGTCTCACACTGCGCTGGCTGATTCTCCATTATGTCCTTTGTAGTATATAAACCCTGTAAAAGTCTCTGTACTTCCTCAGTCTGAATATCATATTAGTTCTTGCACTAGATCTCACACTAAGTCCTCACATTAGTTCTAGTCCTCCAACTTAGTCAATATCTATCTCAGGCCTAGGGAGGCATTCCTTAGGCCAGAGCTCCGCTCCTCCAAGTTTCTGGAAGTTCCTCCAGAACTTTCCCACAGTCCTCCAGACTGATTCTGCTTCGGACTTTGTCCTTGCAGCCTTTCCTCTGTTTGCTTCTACTCAGGACTTGTCTTGAGTAGCCATTACACATATCCCTGTCAGGACAAAACTCCATCGTAATTTCTGGAAATTCCTCTAGCTGTACTCATCTGGAAGTTTCTCACACTCATCCGGAAAGTCCTTCTGAAGTTTCCCGCGCTCCTGCAGAAGTCCTTCAGACTTTCTCTGGACTTCATTCTGAAGTTAAGGGCACATACTCGGGTAAGGGGCACAGTGCATGAGCTAAAGCCAAGCCCCTCTGAATCAGTCCTACCCTTTGTGCACGGTCTTAATATGTCATATCCCGCATTCCGGACCAACATCTGACGACGTTCCCACGCCTCATCCGGACCTCCGGACCTCCTGTCCATGTCTCCAGACCCAATCCTCTATCCGTCCGGATCCCTGTACTCCTGCATCTGATATCCGGACGCCAGATCTGATATCCACATCTCCGGATCTCCGGATCCGACCTATCTGTCATGTCCGAACCCAAACCTTAAATCAGCGCCCATCCCCTTATGGTAATCACCTGTCTCCGGACTTCCGAACATCCGGACCCGACCCACGTCTATCTTCCTTGCGTTCTGGACCCAGACCTATCACGCATTCATCTCCGGACATCCGGATCCGACCCGCGTCTATCTTCCGTGCCTTATCCCTTTGTATGTTCCTTCTTGAGTTAGACTTCCTCATTTTCCGTACCTCATTTCATCTCCGAGTTCATTTCCTATGATCCGTCTTATTTTCTAATACATTTCCACATGCTCGTACATAGCCTTACCCCTCTGCTTACTGATCTGCACAGACTTGCCTCTAGTATATAAACCCCAGTAGATACTCCTGTATTTCCTCAGTCTGAATATCATACACATATTAGTCCTTGCACTAGTCTTCACACTAAGTCCTCGTAACAGTTCTATTCCTCCGACTTAGTAATCATCCATCTCAGGCCTAGGGAGAAATTCCCTAGGCCGGAGCTCCGCTTCTCCGATCCTCCGCTCATCCGCTCATCCACTCATCCGATCCTCCATTCCTCCAAGTTTCCGGAAGTTCCTCCGGAACTTTCCCGCGGTCCTCCGGACCTATCCTGCTTCGGACTTTGTCCTTGCAGCCGTTCCTCTGTTTCCTTCTACTCAGGACTCGTCCTGAGTAGCCATTATACATATCCCTGTCAGGACGAAACTCCATCGTAATTTCCGGAAGTTCCTCCGGAACTTTCCCGCACTCATCCGGAAGTTTCTCGCACTCGTCCGGAAAGTCCTTCCGAAGTTTCCCACGCTTCTCCGGAAGTCCTTCAGACTTCACTGGACTTTCTCCGGACTTCATTCTGAAGTTAAGGGCACATACTCGGGTAAGGGGCGCAGCGCACGAGCTGAAGCCAAGCCCCTTGGAATCAGTCCTACCCTTTGTGCATGGTCTTAACATAATATCATGATACTCTAGCCATCAATTTCCTATTTCTACCCAGTGTCTTTAGCCTGCCCACAAAGGTCCAGTGAAGGCCCCAATATTTAAGACAAAATAATTCAGCCTTATGGTAGTTGTGCCAGAGGCTCAATGGTCTGAATTTGAAGATTGACAAGAAGCAAATAAAATAGTATATTTATTCATCGTATGATTGCTACCTATACTAACTTACACATAATTGTACAGGTGATTCAATACTCAAAGTCATCATGCTAAAGGTAAGGACAAGGCAGACTCACTGTTTTTTGCTAACTCAGCAGAATCACTGGCATATATATACTTAACTGACCCACTATTCAAGGATATCTTAGACTTTGACTTTTGCCCTATTTGTGCCAAAAAAATATATATAATTAAATACATGTACAAACAAAGTACCAAATCATATGATATACAAAGTAGCTTTGGTAATAATATAACCATATGCAGATACAATGATGAGCTCTGAGTACTAAGTTGTTACTCAGGCATCCTTATCATGATGATGCAACAAAATGCTATGATTGTAGTGGTAGTAGTGATACATCACATTTTTAAACTAATACATCTCTCATGCTCTTTGATGCATCATGCATCATGTTTTCTAGGATAATTGCCTTCATATTATAATAGTCTCATATTCTCAGCTCAGTCATTCTTGACAACTTCATATATCCTCCTTTCTTTTCTCTACCTGCTGCTTCCTTATACTGTATGATATCCACTGCATGCTATTAATATCACTTCTTGCATACACTTTCTCTAATTGTCCAGACTATGCTAACTACCTGTCCTTAGTG